CTTTGGTTTCCACATGGAACATCAGTTCCCATTCCACTTCTCTTATTTATCTTATAAAAATTCTATCTTCTTGTATAAATAAATAATCTTGTTGCCTGTGACTTTAATTTGTACTCTTTGAAGTGTGCAATATTCCTTTGTCTGGACTATTTTACTTCACCATCTAATCACTTGATACCAAGGGAAGTCTTTGGCTTTATCTTCATTAATCGGTCAATGTAACAAAGCTTTTCAAGAACGTAAAGTAAGAGGAAAGTGAAAACCTTTTACAGGAAAAACCTTAAAAGAATGCTATAATCATGAAAACAAAATCTTTTGTTAGAGTTAAATCTAAAATATAAGCAGCCAATCCTGGTGTGGACGTCGTCGAAACTAGAAGTAGGTTATCATATCATGGACGGTCATGTTTAAAAAATACACAGTAGCTAACATGTAAACGTCTTAAGCTTTAAGGAAAATGCTCAATGAAGTACATGTTATATCTGTAAACTTTTATGCTTTTTTGTAAAAATATACAAAATCTTTGCATACAAAGCTACTACACTTTCTGCAACGAGATGAATCGAAAAACAGGGCATGCATCTTTACAAACAAGGGAAATCAAATAATTATGCTCTTCATGGTAATGTTTAATCAACATAACACAGCTAAAAAAATATCTTTACTTTGAAAGAATTGAAAGAGAGAAGGAAAAAGATTTGTTCAAACTAGGTGGTGTTTCCCTGTACTGCTGACTTTTTCCCATATGAGTTGCTCATTTTTTTAAAAAAAAATATAAGTTGCTGTTCAACTACTTCCGTAGCTGATCAGATATTGTGTAGTTAAAAACCGATGTCCTATGTATCAACTGCTTCCAACATAAGCAGCAATTTGAAACTAAGATAATATTTCTCTTTCTCAAGTTTTCATGTGTAAAAATAGTGGCTTCTAGCAGCCATGTAAAGCATGAAACATTGAGGTATGTTAACTTTCCAAATTTGTCTCCAAGGCCAGTTAGAGGTCTGTGGTCATGTTCCTTAATTATTTTTTTGTTACCGGTATGCAGTGTTTTAGCTCAATCTCAAATATCTTGAATTTAAAAAGGGAGTTAGTTGAACGATCATTTGATTAATTCTAGAAAGTTAGAACCCGAATCATTTGCTTCTCAAATACTGTATTTGAGTCCCCTAACCAGAGTCGTCTTGTGACACTAAGATTATTTAGTCTTCTGCTTCTTTATTTGCTTTTGGTTATGTTGTCTCATCATGGAACTAGTATATAACCAGAAAACATCGGTTTGATTATGAATTTTGTTAACCATAGTATGGAGGACTGTGTTGCCGACTATTATAACTTCTATAATCTTGTTTACTGATTCAAGCTACACTTTTACCACATGCAATTTCCAGGAAAAAATTCGAGTTGGTTTCATGGCTTATATGGCAGCACTCAAGTTTATTGATGGTATAATTTGCTCAGACCTTGAGTTTTCCGTTTAACTTATTACAACATACTCGTCTGCCAACTTCTTTCTTCTTTTTCTCATTTAAATATATATATATATATATTTTATTTTTTTACAGCTGGTGATCACGGTAGGTCATCCGACCAGGTTAATAATGTTATAGGAGCTGAACTAGCAAAAGACTTGCCAGAAGAAGCTCGAGAAGCTGGTTTTGGAATCAACCCAGATAAACTTGCATCTATAGTTGGTTCGTATGATATAAAAACCTTAAAGAAACTTGGAGGTGTTGAAGGGCTTGCAGGTAAGTTGAGAGTCTCATCAAATGAAGGAGTCAAATCGAGTGATGTATCTGTCAGACAAAATATATATGGATCAAACAAATTTACTGAGAAACCGTTTAAAAGTTTTTGGACATTTGTGTGGGAGGCTCTGCATGATTTAACTCTCATCATATTGATAGTTTGTGCTGTTGTTTCTATTGGTGTGGGACTTGCTACTGAAGGGTGGCCGAAAGGAACATATGATGGTTTAGGAATTCTACTTAGTATAGTATTGGTAGTCATGGTTACTGCAATTAGTGACTATAGACAGTCGTTGCAGTTCAGAGATTTGGACAAAGAGAAGAAAAAAATATCTATCCATGTCACGAGAGATGGATCAAGGCAGAAGGTTTCCATTTATGACTTGGTAGTCGGTGATGTAGTTCACTTATCTATTGGAGATCTGGTTCCAGGTGATGGAATATTCATATCAGGATACAGCTTGCTAATTGATCAATCGAGCTTGTCTGGTGAGAGTGTACCAGTAAGCATATCTGAGAAAAGACCTTTTCTTCTATCGGGAACCAAAGTACAAGACGGTTCAGCTAAGATGCTAGTGACCACTGTTGGTATGAGAACTGAATGGGGTAAGCTGATGGAAACTCTTAGCGAGGGAGGAGAAGATGAAACTCCTCTGCAAGTCAAACTGAATGGTGTTGCCACTATTATTGGAAAGATAGGACTCGGATTTGCTGTGGTGACATTTCTTGTATTAATAGTAAGATTTCTGGTGAATAAAGCTACCCACCATGAAATCACAGAATGGTACTCCAGTGATGCATTAACTCTTCTAAATTACTTTGCCACTGCTGTTACTATAATCGTTGTTGCAGTTCCAGAAGGATTACCTCTGGCTGTCACATTAAGCCTTGCATTTGCTATGAAAAAGTTGATGGATAATAAAGCATTGGTGAGACATCTTTCTGCTTGTGAGACAATGGGTTCAGCTACTTGCATCTGCACCGATAAGACAGGAACACTAACAACAAACCATATGGTAGTAGATAAAATATGGATTTGCGAAAAGGCTAAAAAGGTAGAAATTGGCGGATCCGCAGATGCAATAACAGATTTATCAGAAAGTGCTCAGGACTTACTATTGCAGGCAATATTTCATAATACAGCAGCTGAGGTGGTTAAAGACAAGTATGGAAAGAAATCTGTTCTGGGTTCACCTACAGAATCTGCAATATTAGATTATGGATTACTTCTTGGTGATATTGATGATAAAAAAAAGGATTGTAAATTGCTGAAGGTTGAACCTTTCAATTCAGCAAAGAAAAGAATGTCAGTGCTTGTTTCTCTTCCTGATAGCAACACCCGTGCATTCTGCAAGGGTGCATCTGAGATAGTCTTAAAAATGTGTGACAGGTTTATTGATTGTAATGGTGAAATTGCTGATATGTCGGAAGAACAGGCTACAAATATCACGAATGTCATCAATGAGTTTGCTAGTGAAGCCTTGCGTACACTTTGCTTGGCTTTCAAGGACGTTGGAGATGGTTATAATATTCCTGATAGTGGCTATACATTGGTTGCAGTAGTTGGAATCAAAGATCCAGTTCGTCCTGGTGTTAAAGAGGCAGTTAAATCTTGTTTAGCTGCGGGAATTACTGTAAGGATGGTCACAGGGGACAATATCCACACGGCCAAAGCCATTGCTAAGGAATGTGGTATACTAACTGATGATGGTTTGGCCATTGAAGGCCCAGAATTCCGCAACAAAAGTCCTGATGAAATGAGGCAAATAATTCCTAGAATTCAGGTATGCATTTGATTGTTTTGTATCATCCATCTAGAGCCTTGTGACTCCAATACATTTTGCTGAAAATGTTTATATATTGAATGCAGGTTATGGCTCGATCATCCCCTACTGACAAGCACGTGCTGGTAAAGAATTTGAGAGGCATGTTTAAAGAAGTTGTTGCAGTTACTGGTGATGGCACAAATGATGCTCCTGCCTTGCATGAGTCAGATATTGGACTTGCTATGGGTATAGCAGGAACAGAGGTTTGTAAATTTGCTCCTGCTGTGAGTTGATATGACCTCATATACCATTTTATTCTTGCAAGCTCCAATCGGCAGTTTTTTTCTTCAGTTCTGATATATGGTCAAAAATTTCTTACTAATTGCAGTCTTCGTTATAGCTTATATCAAATATTTGTGATGCATCATCGATGCCTGAAGTTGCCCGCGTGAACATTTCTTTTCATCTTTCTTTTCAATTACTCAAACATTTAATATATCATTCAGAAGACATTGACTTCCAACACATAAGTAAACCTCATTTTCCTGTTTTGATGAGTTTAATAGCATTTGCTAACTGTGTCCCTACATATTTTTGCATCTTCGTTTCTCTTTAAAAAGTTTTACATGTTTGTAGCAATAATATCCATTCAGCTCCAGCATGAGCTAATCTTCACTTTTTTTTTGTCAAAACGACATTGCAGGTTGCGAAAGAAAGTGCTGATATTGTAGTGCTAGATGACAACTTTAGCACAATTGTGAATGTGGCTAAATGGGGCCGTTCTGTATATATAAACATTCAAAAATTCGTGCAATTCCAGTTGACTGTCAATGTTGTGGCTTTGATGATCAATTTTATTTCTGCATGCGCCTCAGGTGTTTATTGCTTTGATTGAGTTCATTCATTTTCTGCTACTGATCTCTTTAATCAACGAATCAACACTCACAGAAAGTGAGAGAGAGTTCATTAGTCGTGATAGCAATAGGAGTATTAGACTCTGACGATACTTATCTTCTGTAACAACTTTCAGGATCTGCTCCTCTTACTGCCGTTCAGCTTCTTTGGGTCAACCTTATCATGGATACTTTAGGTGCACTCGCACTGGCCACTGAACCACCTCATGACGGACTAATGAGTAGGCCTCCTGTTGGAAGGGATGTAAGTTTCATTACAAAGACAATGTGGAGAAATATAATTGGGCACAGTATCTACCAGCTGGCTGTACTGTTAGCCTTCAACTTCGCGGGGAAGCAGATTTTGGGACTTGAAGGTTCAGATTCTACAATGGTTCTGAATACTTTCATTTTCAACACGTTTGTGTTTTGTCAGGTATGCCTTTTAAATTCAGTTTATTATCTTGGCAGCTTTTGTTTTGTGCATCACACTATGTACTTATCGACTCTCACAGAGTCGAAGTCCTTTTTGATTCATTCTTTGTACTCTGTACTATCACTAACCAGTTGGTGCTTTTGTCGGTGGTGGTTCCATGCAGGTTTTCAATGAAATAAACAGCCGTGACATGGAGAAGATAAACATTTTCCGTGGCATTTTTGGCAGCTGGATTTTCATAGGTGTCATGGTTGCTACAGTTGTTTTCCAAGTTATCATCGTTGAGTTCTTAGGCACTTTTGCCAGTACTACACCACTTAGCTGGCAACTATGGCTGCTCAGTGTCTCAATTGGCGCTGTAAGCTTGATCGTTGCTGTCATTTTGAAGTTGATCCCAGTCGAAAAGGAAACTCCTAAGCACCATGATGGTTATGATCTGCTCCCAGGTGGTCCAGAACTTGCGTAAGAGTGAGGTAATCAAATGCAATAGAGAATGTCTTGCTTGGAAAAAAGTTCATTTTCGATTACTACGAAGACTTTTTGAGGTAAGAAGGAATTAAAACAAATGGAGAGAAAATACAAAATGCAGACTAAAAAACAGCTAATTTCACCATCTAACCACCAAGTTGCACTTGAAATTTCTTTGTCGATTCTCGTCTCTCTTTCTGAACAGGTGTTTGATGGAAAAGCTCTTCTTTCTTTTTGGTTTGTGAAGAGAATATTCCTGATAAGACCAGATTTTGAAACTTTAGCTTTCGTTACTGAATGCTCTGCAAGTGTTTACAAGATGGAACAACTGATATCTGAGGAATGTCCAAACCTCATAATAACCTTTGGCTTACTGAGAGACTCGTGTTGGTTGATCTTTCGATGTCATAGATTTACTGTTATATTTTTACAAACTTCTACTCTATTTGAACTTTTGTTTGCCTTGTTCATTGTTCATCTCCAAACTTTCTCTAATACATTATTACTTTGTCATTCCACTTAATCTTCTTTTTCTTTCTTTTGGTTCAACTATCTGATTTTTTCCGTTCTTGAGGCTTGAATAACTTGAGATTCAATATGGTTGGAATGCATTTCCCTTCGTTTACCTATAGATGTTCGTTTTTGTTGAACTTCATATTGCATGAAACTTAGTTTTTCAATATTTGGTACTATTGAAAAAAATTAATGTGGAATCATGCTGAATAGGCTCTTCTACAAAGGGTGTTTTACACTCCTTGTTGAAATGTTATTCATTATAATAACTCGAATCCGAAATCTCTGGATGACTGAGATATCTCAATTGTCATCAAGTCCTTGTAGAGTTCAAGACATGTTTATATATGTTGAAATTGCGTGTTATCTTCACATCTCACGTATTTGTTTTCCCACCAAAAACCATTCCCAATTCCCAATTCTTTTTTTTTTGTTTTTACCACCTAGTGTTTGGAGCTTGCATATTGGAGCCTCAACTTGATTGGGATTGCGCTCTGCAGGCCCATTCGGAGGTGGCGCTCTCAACACGATTTTCTCCGTAGTCAGGACTTGAAAATGAGACCTCTGGTTAAGAATAGAGCAGTTCCACCAATGCATTACAATCGTAGATAACAAAATTGTTCTGATAACACCTTCATAGGTTCGTGCTATACCACATGCAAAATCTTGATATTTGAGTGGAGAAAGATAGAGATAGGGGCCCATTCTCCGCCGAGTTTCAGACTGTGTTTCGAGATTTTCTCAAAAAAACTTAGTTTTAGTTCACATGTCAAGACATCATCATCAAAGTTTACTTCAAAGCACAAATGCAAGCCTAGAAATCTCGTCATAGATAGAATTTTTTTGAGTAAATGGAAATATAACATAGCACAAACGCAACAGGATGGCGAATAAGACATTAAATTACTTTTAATATATCAACATCAGAGTCAGATACAGATGCATACATCCTATCGTCTTGATGTAAAGAATACAAGTAATGAACAGGAACATTTCCCGGGCTGAACAGCTAGAACTGAATAATTTTTCTATATATTCATCGTCTAAAACAACGATTTTTAGCAGCTGCCCCTTTTTTTCTATTTCCTCTCTGTATGTCTATGCGCTACAACCTACAATGTAGCAGTGAAATCCGTTTTATCTTCGGTCTACAGTATATGTCTCTTAACTTAAAGAAAACAAAAGTATGGGGCTTCGTTGGAGAAGAAACAAAGGCCGAATCTCACAGCTCATTTGTGTCTTCTTTTGGCTTCTCCGTAAGCAACAACCCCCATCACAGTCAATGTATAGCCCGCAATTCCAGTAAAAGTTACAGGGTTTCGGAAAAGAAGTATCGATATAACAACAGCCACAGCACCTTTAGCGTTTCCTAGGACCTACAGAAGTAGACAGAGTATGAAGATGTTTAGAATGAGTCAAAAACAATAGATATCGCGATATAATGTGAAATTGCATGAGTAATTTCTGAGAAACAACTAGCTTCTTGTGTTAGAACTATTTCAAAAAATATTAAAACTCCTGTTTTATTATATACGTAACAATATAAAAAAAATATCATCCCTTATATATGAATGTTAGTAATAAAGTTCATCAATTAATTGTTGTCAGTCATACACATTTGTCATCTATGTTGGCTCGGACTCTTCAAAATTACGGACAGGCGTGTGCTGGATCCTCCAAAAGTAGTGTATTTTTGGAAGATCTGACACGGGCGCGACAATATTTTTGCAGATTCTGAGCAACATAGGTTTGTCATATACATTTATCATGCTACCATGTTCTCTTTCAAATTTTAAGCACAAAATAAACTTCAGTATGTGTCTGTTTAGCATTGAAAAACATTGTATCATTTTTATATTTTATTTTCCATAACCGTGGTATATTGGCCAACTTGCATGCACCTCGATAAAATCCATGGGATACATGTCACATTCCATTAGCAGGAGGTACTAGGTAACTCTATCCATCAAGGCTAGGACATATACAAAGATATCACCTAGTGCTTTTTTTGTTTCCATTGGGATTGGAACCGAGAATTCATGGTTCTCAATTCACCTCATTGACCACTAAGCCACACCCTAAAGTGCGAAAAATACATCGTATCATTTATGGGACGAACGAGGAGGAGAAGAAGTAGAGAGAAAAACCTGGAGTGTCAATGCACTGGTATGCTTTGTCACCAAAAAGTTCAACAAATTGGCTCCATATGCCATTGCAGAATTGACCAAAATAAGTAGGCCAAGGTATCTATGTTCCGTTGCAAGTGTTGCAGTGACAGCCATCACATTGGGCTCCATTATGATTGCCGCGGGCATTAAAACTAGAACAGCAATTGGTGACATGTAAAGCAGCAGGTTCATGGAGTTCAATTTTTCCCTGATAAGAGAAGGCAGGTTAGAAAGAGCTGTTAAAAAGTATCAGTAAAACAAATGAATGAGAAATAACTTTTGAAATCCCGAGGGCCAGTAGTGCATCGTTTGAAATTGGTGGATAATAAGTTCGGTCTTCTACCCTATTCCACTTAAATGTCAGGCTTATTTCTAAGACAGGGCTCTAACCTGTGACGTGCGCCTTACTTAATGAACATATACACACTACACACTACACACTGCACTCTAACCACAAGACCTATGTCCTAGAGGCTCTTCAATACCATGTCACAATTGAAAAAGCAAACCAACCCCAATCGGATTATTCAAATGCTGGATTATATTATCAACCAACCCAAGTCGGAAACACAAAAGAACAGGCAGTGCTGAAACAAGCAAATGACATATACGAAAAGAAAAAATAACGCTACTCCTGTCATTCTATTCCAAAGAGAAGAATTGAAATATATGTTCAAAAAACCAAAATACTTACCCTTCAGAGGAAAGAAGAACACCTTGAAGAACAGACTTAAACGCACGTGCAGCAGTTGCACCTATACACATAATGAATCCATAAAGGTGGAAATTAGGTTCCCCCTGCCATCAATCGACTACTCGTCAGTACATCATAAATAAAATCTGAACATGTACTTAAGTTGCTTATAAGGAGGTATATTAAGTACTTTCCAGATTTTAAACTCATAAAAGCAGTTGAAATTTTTTCCTTTTTCCACCATAGGTAAACTTAAAAGATCAAATTTTGTGCAACCGTTACAGTGATACGATATTTTACTTCTCCTCTAGTGGGCATATATTTGGACCACTAGCTGTTAAAACTATATTGCAGCTTCAGGAAGCTAACCTTTTTTTTTTTCAACTAAAGTTCCAGCGAAATGAATACATGACACATCTTTAGCTTATTAATGGCATGACTCTTAGATAGAAAGGTTTGGAGGTCGAGGATAAGGGTAGCCGACTAGCAGGTAGCTGTCTGTTGTAGTACTTTCCCGAGGGAGAGGCAGGGAGCTAACTTCCTTTTCTTAACTTCTAATTATTCCAAATGTTAAACAACTGTAGATATCTCAAGATACTAAAAATCACAGAAAATAAGATATAGATTTCTTTCTTCAGAAAAATTAAATCACAAGTCACAATTAGATCAAACAAAAGAAAGCACGTCCATGTCGGGTCCTTCAAAAGTAATGCATTTTTGGAGGATCCAACACAAGCGCAACAACATTTTTGGGAGAGTCCGAGCAACATAGCCCGACAAAACAAACAAAAAAATTGAGAATTGATCCAAAACTAAAGATTGATTCTTTTTGAAGTAAAAGATTGGAATTTTCTATCATCTATAATTAAAGGTTTTATGAGAAAAAAAAGTCATGTTAAATACACAACACAAATCCGAATTAGTCAGAGCTCCCAAAAGCTAAACCACAACAACAATAGCATGCCTAATAAAATCACACATGTGGGGTCTGGGGAGGGTAGAGTGTGCCCACACCTCCTGGCACAGGTAACACATATAAAAGGAGAAAAACACACACAAAAGTAATGAATTACATCACAAATTAACCCAAACACAAAGATTAACAATTGAATGAAAAGTAGTAAAACATACCCCGCTTGCAATGACAACACCAGCAACAACAGGAACAAGACAACCATAGGTAAGCCAAGCTTCCCTCTTCATGGTGATGATATAAGCAAACAATGCAGTGAAAAAGGGGGTGGTAGCACCCACAGCTTGATTGAATGAAACAGGTAAATACCTTAAAGAAATATTACCACCAACAACAGACCCACAAAACACAAGGCTAAGTGTAGAAATTCTCAAAAATTGAGATCTTGATTTAATCCTCTGAAAAGGTACAATCTTTAAGAAAACAATTGAAACATAGCTAAGAACAGCACAAGCAGACATATGACACATAGTAAGGAAGATTGGGAAAGAGAAACCATAATTTGAAAGTAATAATTTGTTGAGAAGAAGGACACCAATGTTTGAAGAATACCAGAAAATGATGAGTGAGGTAATAAAAAGAGCTTGTTTTTCTGATTGTGGTGTGGACATGGTGGAAATGGGTTGTTTTTAGATTTTGGATTAAGGAAGAGAGAAAGGGCTCATTCATGCATTCATGGAAACTTTGTTTCTTGATTCAACTGTGTGTAAAAGGGATGGCTTTGGTTTGATTTGTGTTTTTTTTTGTGTGTTTGGGAACTTTTGTAGGGAGGTGTGTAGTTTTAGTGTTCTTTCTCTCCCATTAGATCAATAAGGTTCCTTTTTGGTACGAATGATAAAAAATAATAATTTTGAAATTCGTTTTAAAATCAATTTATTTTATGTTTGATTGGAATGAAATTAAAATATAATTTATTTTGTTATTTTTATTTTATAATAAAAATGTGATTAAAAAAAATTGAGATAATTTTATTTCCTAGCTAAACGAATTCTTCAGACGTGTTGGTTATAATAATAAACATTTTGCGAGTTAGTAATGAGCATTTGGAATTTTGAATATTTATTTTGTTTTTGAACATGATCAGTCTCTTATTTAATTTAATCTTGATTGTACGTTAAACATTCTTTATAAATATTTTTATAAAACTATATTAAATATATCGTTATTATGATATCAAATCAATAAATATACTTTATAGTTCCTTTGTTATCCTTTTATATATGTGTAGTATGATTTTTCAGACGCTTTTCTAATTCTATTTTGGTTGAGAATAGTATTTGGCTAACTTGTATATATTTCGACATAGGAGAAGAGTCTAATATAAATTTAAATTATAAATTCGATAAAATTTAATATTTTTTAGCACGATTTTTGTATGTGTTAAAACTCATTTGTGCACATTATGCAAAAAAAAAAAAAGGTTGTAATCAAAATTAATAACTCATAAGCTAAAATATGTAGCATCATCTCTATTTCGATTATTCTATCGAGCTATTATTTTTTCCATCAATACAAATATAGTATTATATGGTATATTTTACATATAAATTATCACATTTAAATCTTGTTTTATGAAAAACATGTCACCATAGTTTAATTTGTTACTTATTTTATATTTACATAGCTAACGTTTGACCATAGATTATAAATTAAATTTAAATTATTTCAAATATTTATTTTGATAAAAAAATTCAATTAGATTTTAAGAACTTAATCTTCAAATATTCTTAGCTTTCCAAATTTGATATATTCACTCACAAAATTATAAACAAAAAAAAAGTTTTAATTAAAATTTCAAAACTTCAAATTTCAATCTTTTAACTCTAAAATTCATAATCTAAGTAAAAGCTCATAAAGTGAGACACCACATTTTGACATATAACATGTGCATGGGAAAGCTTACTATTGCTTTGCATGGAAGTGTTTCCGAAGAATATTAAAAGAATATTAAGAAGGTATTTGGATTGATTTAAAGATTGGTTAAATCTATTTTTGAAATTGGTTTTTGTCTTATGAAGTGTTTGATAAATATAAAAATAATTTAAGATAAGTTAAAAATGATTAAAATTAAGTTAAGAAGTGTTTGACAAGATTTAAAATAAATTTTAAATGATTTAAAATAAGCTAAAAAATCAAGTAGATCTCCTCTTACTTTTTATTGTTTTTTACTTAAAAGCTATCTTTTAAAAAGTCAATTCAAATAAGTCCTTACTCTTATCGATGAAATTGTGTTTAGTTATATATTTTTAAAAATATATGGAACAATCTTCAGGTTTGAATGCACTTATACTTAAATACAACTTCAAAAACGAGTTAATGGAACAAGTTACAATATATTTTTTCAAATTTCAAATATATTTCAAGTTGAATTAGCCAAACGGGTCCTTCAAAAATAATCTTGTTAGCTACTAGAGAAATAGGTCTTACGTCTTACAATGCTTAATTCTTAGGTTTACTCGAACTCTAATACAAATCTATAATTTAAAAAATTTGAAGTACGAGTCGTCTTCTTTCATTCCACCTCGAAGAGTAACTAAAATCAATTTAATCACGCTTTCATATTCCAATTGAACACTAACCATTTTGATTATTTTCAACTGATAAGATTATTCTCTGTATCAAACACAAATAAAAATGATCTTATTAGCTACTCAAGAAATAGGTCTTACAATGCCTAATTCGTGAGTCTACTCAAACTCTGATACTGATATCGAACACGATATTATTTTTTTTAACTATAAAGAGCAAGATTAATAGGTCAGCATATGTGGGGTCCACAATCTATTTAAGGAATCAAGATAGTAGGCCCCACAATTCCCTTAAATCTTCCACGTCACATATAGGCAATAATTTCTCATTATAATTTACCCTTCAATTGCCATTTAATTACAACCATACCCTTCCCTTGCTCACTCTACACTACATATATATATACTAAGCTTAGTTCTCATCTCTGCAAAAAAAAAAAAAAAATCCATTCTTAGCTCACTTTTTCTACAATTTTTTAGGGTTTCAAAACCCCTTTTTGCTCTTTTCATTGTTGGGTTCAGAAATTTTCAGGTATTTCACTTTGTTAGCATTAATTTTCAAGATATTTTTGTTACATTGTCGTGCATATTTGAGTTGGAAGTGTCAAGTTTATGTGTTTTTTTGTTGTTTCTAGAGTTTTTCTGTTAATGAAATGGTGGAATATACTTGGGTTTTGATTTTAGTGCTGTATATTTTTTTTGAAAAATGAGTGAATGTTGAAGAGCGAGAAGAGTAGTTTTTTCTTGTTGTTCTTTTTGTATGTAGTGGACTAAACTGCATTTTTACTAGTGTGTTTCATGATATAAGGATGGGGTTTTCATAAACATTTTGGGTGGTGAGTTAGTGATGGGTCGAGGGTCTTTCTGCCGCATTTTCTTTTTTCTTTTTGGGTAAGATTTGCTGCACTTGAGTTTGAGTTGATGTCTTTCGGAAACAATCTCTCTACTTCAATGAGATATGAATAAGGTCTCCGGAACTCCACTTATGGCTCACTAGTGGGATATTACAATGGGTATGTCGTTGCTGGTGGTGAGTTGGGGTGGGGAAAGCCGGAAAGGAGGGTACTAGTAGAGTGGGTTCGGGGATGATACATTGGCAAAACTGTCTTTTCTGCTGTATATGCTTTTTGATAACTACTTCGACTTGTTGCACTTGAGTTTGGGTTGAGGGTCTTTTAGAAACAACTCTCTACCTCGATGAAGTAGGTGTTAGGTCTACGTAGAATCTACCCGCCCCCGACACCACTTATAGGTCACTTGTGGGATTACACGGGACTTATAGGTCACTTGTGGGATTACACGGGGTATTTTGTTGTTGGTGAGTTCGGGTGTGGGGGTGGAGATGGGGAAAGGAGGGTGCTAGAAGACTGGGATAAGGGGTGAAGAAGACGTAGAACCACCAGGATTTCTACTCATTTTCTTCCAATAAAGTGAACCTATTAATCAAATCTTTCCAAGACCATGAAGCACTATATGTATAAGTTAGTGGGGCTTCAAGCTGCAATACCATTTTCCAGTTTTTAAAGGGCATTCTTGCATTTGGAATTGTTGATCATAGGCAGCTTTTACTGAATTTGGCAACTTTATCATCAATAGCTTGCAGCGTATCTGCCTGTGTAGCTTTGCGGGTGATATATTCTCTTAAAAATTAGGGATGTAACTGCAATCCTTCTTTTTTGTATCTGATACAGGGTGATCTTTCTTAAAGATTCTTAAAGAGATGGATTTGTTCATCTGGGGTCCACCTTACTTTCAAGGTTTGCCTACTTATTGAGTAGTGTTATTTCTCGATAAGTGGCTTGGCTACTTAGTTTAACCTGATTAGTTTTCGCGGTTGTTTGGTAGAAGGAGTGTTGAAGAGGACGGAATATCACCTTTAGTTCAATGCACTGACTTATTTAATTTTTCTTCAGATGAAAATAGTTTTCCAACAAACAGCTTGGCTCAAAACTTCTATTTCAGTCAAAGGCTTGGTAACTTTATTAATTAACTATCTTATTTTTATATATTCTTAAAAACTCTATTAGATACTTTACATTTAAGGACCTAGTTTTCTATCAAATGTGCATCTGACTGGCTTCGTTTTTTATATGGATTTGCTTCCAGACATTATAGAAGAAGATGCCTTAAATGAGAAATGTTGTGTGCAAGTGCTAGAGATACTCATTGCAAAAGCTGATACAGAAATTGCCAAAATTGAAGATGATATAGTGATGCTACAAAGCCAACTAGCCCGTATTGATGAAAAATGGTTGGACATGTGCATTGCTACTTTAAATAAAAAGATTGATCGCCTTGGTAGTTTGATAACTGCCTTGAAAATTAAAAATGTCCAAGCTTCTGGTGTTCACTTAAAAACAAATAAAAGACCTTCAGAGAGAACCCATGAGATATTAGAGACACCGCCAAGAAATTTCTCGTCTCCAGTAGACAAGCAGGTTTGGTCCCAGAACATTTACCTGTTCTTAACTACTGTTGCCTTTGATGGCTGTGATTGTTCTTTCCGATGCAAGATTGCTTATACTTGATGTTCTCAAGTTAATGCTAGACATTAGTACTTATTGGATAACACATGTGCATTGCTGCCTTTTATGAATAGAAGGAAGTATTCTTTTTGGTTAAAGCTGTACATATTCAGCATCATCTTAGTGCTGCCTTTTGTGAATACGACCTTCATTTTACTGACCCTCTCCAAAAAAAAAATTGAGGAATAACACGTGCTTTGCTGTTTCACAGAAAACTTTTGGAATTTAATGTGATTCTTAAAATTGAAAGAATAAATAGGCAACGAATGGGCTGTTAAATGAAGATAATTGTTGAATTATCTTTACATTTATGTAGCTAATCATTGAACCTACAAATTAAGTAGTTGGTTGAGACTTGAGACTACTCATGAATTTCCATGACTTTTACCTTATAATCAACAGACTGCAAACTCTACTCTTGGAAGTTCAAAGCTAGCTGCATCTGTTCTTATAGAAGTTGAAGCAACGGACAACCACAATTTAAAAGATTTTGAGACTGTTGAAACGAATGGTGAATCTACTGTCCAGGCCAATGTTATGATCCAGACATTATCTGTGGTTCAAGAAAGAAATCTACAAGTAAAAGTAAGTGCTTATAATCTAGTAGTTCCACTAAAGAGCTGCAAATTGCAAGAGAATTTGAACCACGGAAGCCTGCTATTGAGGGTGCGCCGTAAATGTGCAGGATTTTGAGCCATTTAGGGTATATTGCATAAGTTTATCAGATAAATATCTCTATGATTGCTTCTCATATGTTTGTGAGTCTATAATTAAATAGTATTTGAAGACCGTTCATCGGCACTCTTAAGGGCCTTTTATTTCTTTTCGTAATGAATGCTAGCATTTCAGCTCCCTCGCTGCGTCAATTTTCCATCTAAACTTGTCCAATTGACTACATTTTCATTCTTTCTCAAACAATGACCAGGATGAAAATGTAATCACCAAAGGCTCCTGTACAAAGGCTTTTGGTCATGCTAGTGACAAGTCCACTTTGAAGGATTTGAACGAGTCTGATATTCCTGGAAAGCTTATTAATGCTAGCAAACGAGAAAAACCTTCACAACTCAACAATGTACTTATAGATTTGCTTACTGAGCATTCATTCATACAAGGTTACATACCAATCTAGATATTTCAACTAACTGGTTATCTTATCTAATTCTTACACGAGCAGTTTGCATGTGCTGTTTTTAAGAGTGCAAACACAAAGTCTCTAAGAGACAAAGCTGAATTTTATGGAGAATCAAAGAGGAAGATCGATGAAGTGATGCAACAAAGTTCTAATGACAGCATAATCATGAAGTCATCTCTAGGAGTCAAGCAAACAAGCATTGGAGAAGGACCTAAGGTTTGGAAATATCTTCCATTTGCTTTAGTGTGCTATCACAATATTGAACAGCCTAGGAAGCTAAAGTTTGGAAGTAATTTTCATAATGCTGTAAAGTAGACTAATGTCTCAGAGTTAAGCTTATACCGAGAAGAGGAAAAGCCACGGGTAATGTATAACTTAGAGATGTAGATAAGGGTACAGTGTGCAACTTCAGTGTTTATACTTGTGGAGTTCGTTACTGTCTGTGTATCTATTCATTTATACATGAAAAACTTTCTGGTTGTTATTTGAGACTTCTCCGTCTAAAAGGGGGACAATATCGTTTGACAGACTGCTGGAGCAATTATGGTGACCCGTCTAAGTGCTGTAAAACAAGAACCTAAAGAATCCGGAGATGAACAGGCACAGAATGGAACAAAGGCTGGTCAGACTAGAGAAAAACACACCTCAAGTCAGTTGGTAACTCAAAAGCAGACTGGCGCAAAACAAATTCCTGGAATAAAGAGAGGTCTGCTCATGTTAAATCCTATAAAGAAAGACAGAAACAAGCAACTGGAAAAATTCAAAGGTGAACTGCAAGTGAAGCAATCCCCCAAAAGTCAAGTACTCACCATACACAAATCTAAATCAATATTTTCCCCAAAGCTAGAAGGTCAGAGGCCGAAGCTCAAATGTAACGTACCTACAGAAATGCCCAAAGAGCCCTGTCTTGCCGAGGAATTAGGGTTCAAGTCACCTTCTGGTCTAAAACTCAAGAGGCAGTTAAAGACTGGAAGTACTAAGGAGAATGGAGGTGATGAATTCAAAGACAAAACAACCAAGGAGAGTCTGTCACCACTTGGTGGAGCCAAAGAAACTGGTGATCTTCCAGAGATCAGTTCAACTTCTTTGATCCACTTGAAGAAGAGAAGGATAACAAGTTCCACAGGACCCATACTCCAAGAGAACGAGAATTTGAGAGATTTTCAGAATAGGTTGGTAAAATCATACGACAGATCAAATCAAAACCGTCAAGTCATTAAAGTTGAGAATGACAAACTTCTTGATTCCCCAACATTCACTGCTCCAATTCCGGACATAACAGATCTCAAGTATATGACAATGAATCAACTCAGGGCCGTGGCAAAGCACCATAATGTGCATGGGGTATACAAATTTCGCAAATCTGAGCTGCAGGAACACCTTCGCAAGCTGCTAACTAAAGGTCGGTCAACGTAAAAGCAATCTCTATAGCCACTTTTTGTTCACTGCGTTCTCAAGTGAGGCATAACAAAATTGTTTACAAGTTCTTATGAGATGAAGATACCAATCTCTATAACCACTTTTTGTCTGCTACATACTCAAGTTAGGCATAACAGCAATGTTTACAAGTTCTTACAAAAGGAGCTCTATAGGAAAAGGGTGATACTAGCAAATCATGTTCATATGACCAACTGTACAGAGTAGTTGAAGTTTTGCTTATAAAGAACAGATACACGAGAAAAAGTACAGCAAAATGCTGATTCTAGGAATCGTCTTGTAGCTGGATACTTCCTGGAAGGCTTTACTAATTTTGTTGATAATACCTTTCTTTATGTACTGAGTTGATCAATGCTCTGGTAAGGACCTCTTTTATAAAGGTAAGTTTCATTTTTGCTTAGTTTCCTAATTGAGCCTGGGAATTGCAGCTGCTTTTCTCTTTAAATTTACTGTCTATAGAACTTGGCAACTATATATAGTTCTGGAGTAATGCACCCAAGAGTGTGGAACTTAGTAGTCAATGAAGTAGGTTGAGAATCATGAAATTTTAAGTTGAGATCTCAGCGGAGCCAAAAACACTTGGTTATTTCTTCCTTATTTGTACAAGCCTTGACAGAGTTATTTGTTACCTATGTTGGTCGAGATAGCAGGTACCTTGTGAAATTATTCGAGATGCAATCAAATTGGTCTGGACACCATGATTATCAAATATATATATCTGTGTCCACTTCTGCAGAAACTTTGTTGCATCGACGAATCATTATACTGTGTAGTTTGTTTCTTCTGATCTGACTGAAACTCTCGTGCTTGGATGCTGGAGCACTTGAGTTGCGTGGCCTTACGGTCTATAGTGAGAAAAATTACGAGATTTCAAGTTTAAATTCCAACAAGTAGACAAAATTACATGATTTCATATTAGGTACCTCGGTGGACAAAGTTACTTTCTATATAACGGAAGTAGCTAGCAATTGCCTTTGAAATAATTGAGGTGCACACATATTTATTATTAATACTAGTTTCAGGACACGTGCGTTGCACGTGTATCCCATGTTTTTTTTATATTCATTATAACAATTAGAATTCTACATGTACATGCATGTAACGAATAACAAAATGCGACAATTACAAATAAAATTATAAAATTGTGACAAAAAATCAAACAAGGAATCTTATTTTAATGTATAAATTTATCAAAAAACTTTAATTTTAGAACTTTAGATAGTAATTAGCCAATTTGCATTATATATAGTCACAAAAAATTAACTTTAGCCTAAATAAAAATACAATTAAAACAATCATAAATTGATGGAAAATCAAACTAAAGAAGTTTCATAGAGAGAAAACACATATACAAAATAAACAAAGAAAAAAACACCCAATAACATACACATTCTTTTGAAGGCTCTAGTCATAACAATATGTATATGGAAAAAGAAATACAAATCTCTATATATTCTTTCAAATTTTTGTAGACACTTCTCCCATAAACAATTATAATTCAAGAGACTTCTTCATTTAGTTAAAGTATGAATCAAATAAAACAATAATGATATAAGCGGCACTATTTAAACTATAGAATGATAAAAATAACCTTAATTAGGATACTCATGAAACAAATAAAGATGTATATGGAATAAAAATAGGATAATTAGATGGTTAAGTTATGAAGATGAATATATTATTCCTTATCACAATGAAAAGAAAGAACAATAACTGCAATTATTATTCAAAATAATAGTAGTAATTAAAGTTGCACCAAGTAATTTGTGTAAAGTATTATCTATGAAACATTGCAAATTTTTAGTGGACATTGATTATGGTCTTTATGTATTGATTTAACTCAATGATCTCATTATAAAATAGTTTATATTTTAGTAAAGAAAAATATTCAAAAAATTGGAACAATTTTAGTCGTTAAAAGGGTAGAAATGCCTAATATTTATTTATGAATATTGTCTTTCAACTTTGACTTTAACCAATTTTTTTAATATTTAGTGTGGCATATAGAATGATTACTATTTATAAATAAATATTTTAATTTAACACATGATAAAAAGATAATCCAATTTTATACTCTGTTGTTTAAATTTTTTTTTACCATTCAACCAAAAACAAGCTCCATAGAAAAAAAAATGGACAAACAATGAGAACTTATCACACAGTGTAATATAACACCAAAAGATTGAAGAGAAGACACCATATCAAAAAGAAAATTTATGCATTAGGATTGTGTCATATATAGCCAAAAAGAACATATACAATGGAATTATTTTATACAATGACAGGAAATCAAAGAAATATAAAAAATATTATGAACAATATATATCAAAATTGTAGTCCACCTTACTTTTTTTTTCCTATTAATATACCGATATATTATTTAAATGTAACAAAAAATTATTTAATATAGAAGAAAGAATAATATAATTAACAAAACTAAAACGGAAAGCAACAAGGAAAAAATTGTTAGCTAATTTGTGACTTACTCTTTCAATAATACGTTCATCTAAATGTCAAAATAGCACTTCCAAATGTATTAGAACCATATTGTGCCATCATATAGTTTCATGCAATAGAGCATACCAAGAAAATTTTCAAACAAAAGGTTGGAATATGTATTCTTGTACTTTTGAATGCTCTTGATTTGTGTTGTTATTTTCTTTCTCCATGTCTTAAATATCTATACATTTTAATAATATGTGGAAGATGAAAATAATTGAAGTTAATTAGAAAGACTGAAGTAATATATGAAAGTTCAAAAGAGTCATCTTTTCATTTACCATATTCATTGTAACTAATATAAGTTAAGTAGTGTCTTCAAAATTTAAAGCTGAAAAAACCTTTCAACTTCAGTAATTAAGTGATGCAGGAATAAATAGAAGTACTAAAAAGACTTTAGAAAATCTCATAGTTTGTTTTACTAATTGAAAGTCATTAATTGGATAAATTAAAACTTTCTCCCTAACTTTAAATACTTAAGAAAATTAAATAGAATAATATGATATATACATATCATTGTGTAATTAAAATATTTATATTTAATTAAACAATAAATTAAATTTTAATTTAGTAAAAGGGCAAAATAGTAATTCAACTTTTCACTATAGAGCTTCACACTTGTAATAATATATGATGATATGATTTGTCCAAAGCTTTGGTAGACAAAGTAATCTGATACATGTGCTGATAGAAAGTATCAATTACATCGTGAAATTAGTTGAGATGCACGCAACAATGATTATGATTTTTTAAAATGTTTTTTTTAGAAACGAGTACAATTTAAACTCTTTTTCTTAAAACTCATGCGTAAGAATCAACAGTTAAAATAACTCCTTTGGTAACATGCAACTAAGTATTTGAAGTAAAAGAGCTATCTATCATCCTGCTTCAGAAAAAATTACCTGCAATAAAGGAAAAAATCATGTGATCACATAAATGTGCAAACTATCTTTAACAATAATAATATAATCAGTATAATTCTAAACGTATTACCCCAGCCTTGTGAAGGAGGGGAGGATGTTTCAATAGACACCCTGCTCAAAAATAAATAGGTAAAACAAATACAATGGCTAAGAAGTCATGTTGAAAACAATGAATAGAATAGTAGCAACGACAAAATAGTATGAAAACTAAAAAAACAGGTTATACTGAAAACAAGCTAATATGTTTGCCTCTAGTAGAATTTGAGATCGAGTTTAACCCACTTCATTGACCGTTAGGCCATATATCTTGGGTACTTCTCATGTACCTAACCTTGGTGGGTAAAGCTACGCGGGTGAAATAATCGAAATAGTCACATTAATAATTACAAATATGGCTTGTTTTCTTGGCTTGTTGCAAGAAGAGAAGGGAAAAGATTGTCCAAATCATGTGACCATTTCATCGAAAAAACTTAAAACTCTAAGAAAAGAGTACACTTCTCTTTACTTGAAATTAGTGTTTATCATGCCTCCTCATGCGAGTCTAATTCTATTTCATTGATCAAGCACAAGATTTTTTCTTTTTGTTCATAGAAGGCGGTGAGACCTAAACTCATCTCATCTAAAAGCTTACACTCTTAATAAGAGTACGTTTTGTTTACTAATTAAATATCAACAAAGATTATGCAAGAAAAGTAGAGCAATATGAAATGTTTTACCTCACTTCGATGCCAACTTGCTAAGAACCTCCTCTAGCGATCGAACTAGATGTTTGATACGATATTTGAGCTTTGCATTCTCTGAAGTTAGTTGTTCGACCTGTTTGTGTCCCTGAAATCAAACAAAAATTCGGTCTTTAGTTACCTTCAACGCCATAATCTGGAAAGGCGAAAAGGATTAAGAAATCAAATCCAAATGTCAACCTTTTCTTGTTCTGCTTCGAGCTCAGCAGTGACATCTTTCAGCTTTGACTGGAGTCCAGCAACTGTTCTCTCCAATTCCTCGTTTTTAAGATCTGAAGAGCCACCAACATGCACATAAGCATGAAAATGCAGCAGGCTTCTCGAGTTTACATAGATGAGAAAACTTATGAACCAGAAGTGTTGTCAATAGGACATATGATCTATGTTGTTCGTGCATTTTCGAAGGATCAAGCAACATAGGATATGATTGAAGGCATCACTAACCTGTCTTACTAGCGACTGAAATTTCAAGTCTTGCCAATCGTTCCTTCAGTAAAAAGAAACTGTCTTTAGTATCCACTGATGATGGTAAAAGTAGAAAAGTTGGAATAAGACAAAATGACAAAAAGTTTTGCACACACACCACAATTATGGATGTCAACGGACAACAACATACCCAATATAATCCCACATGTGGGGCTGGAGGTAGAGTGTACGCAGACCTTACCCCTACCTTGGCAGGAAGAGAGGTTGTTTCGATAGATCCTCAGCTCAAGGAAAGGAAAAACACAACATTTATGAAGAGATAAGCAGTAACAACAAGAAGAACAATTATGTATGTAAATACATTTAATCTAATGGCATTTTTTGTTGGTACCAGCCATATATATTGCAAAAACCTTATTAGGATAGAATCTCATGGTTTCCAATAGGCTTGGGCCACATAAGGTATGCAAATGATAGAGTTGGATTCTCAAAAGAGGAAGTAAGACAAGAGGATATGAAATTTTAGATAATAGCAACGCGAGGGTACACATTGCACACTGTATGTACACATGTTCGTGAACTATTGGAGGAACATAATCAGACTCTGCTCTAAACTCTTCGGGCAAAATCATAGGAATAACTGCATTAACGGTTTGTTTTGGCAGTTCCAACTTTCAAATCCATTTTTTCATTAGCTGATAAACATGATCCATGAAACTGCATCGAAGGTGCACAAATCTGATATGCGAGGAACACCAAAATATGTTGTTCAGACACTCCAAAAGCAATTCGTTTTTTGAAAGATCCGTCATGAGTTCACCAAATACTTCAACGCATAACCAACAGAATATTCTTAAAAGCAATTAGCCAAAAGAAAGTAGCATCCATACTAAGTTCATCTTTACAATCTGAAATTGCAATATTAATGCATACAACTAAATGAAAAACTTTAATGGGCTCAGAATAAACAAAGTTGAAAGAAAAATACAAACCCCACATTTCATTAGATCCTATAGAAGGGGAAAAAGCACAAAACTTGAAGCAAAAAGAACATTGAACAAGAAAATTGAACAAAACAATTAGCCAAATGAAATTACTCGGACTCCCCAAAAATGTTGCAGCAGCAGGGCTAGATCCTTCGAAAATGCACTACTTTTGGATCTTTGGAGAATCCAACAAGCACCCGAAGTCATTTACGAAGAGTCCGAGCAACATAGACAAAACCAGCATCATACAACGTTTATATGTACAGACTAACAGTCCAATAATATTGTCTGCAACTAAAGAAAAGACTTGTATGGGCTCAGAATTTATCAAAATTGAAAGAAAACAAAACCCCAAAACTATAGAAGGGAAAGCATGAAACTTTACACTACTGTACCAAACAGGGAAAAAAATGAAATTCAATACTAAAGTTTAACAGCACAAGTTGAAATCAAGATCAAAATAAGGCATAATATATAGATAAAAACCTTAAATTGAGGCAACTAAACATGTCTAACTTTGAAAATGCACGTCTAGACAACTCAACTAGTCAACCGGCTCTGATAGGCACATAAATGAAAAAAATGCTATAATTCATTGGATTGAAAGAAAATGCTGTTAAAGAATGACAAAAGTCGCACAGCCATGGTTAATGAGATGGGTGGACTCCTTAATAACGCTTAGGCAATCCTCCTCCCTTTGAGCTAGCTTTTGGGGTGTGAGTTAGGCCTAAGACCTAATTTCACATGGTATCAGAGCAGGACCCATATCACCCGATGTTGGGACCCCCAAAATCAAAATTGTCCATGCATCAGATGTTAATCACTGAGCGTGAGGATGTGTGTTAAAGAATGACAAAAGTTTCACATGAGGATGGACATGAGGATGATGGACATGAGGATGGGTATTAAAGAATGAGATGGTGGACTCCTTAATAAGGCAGACCTAATTTCACAAATGCAAAACCCATAAATCAATAAACCTGTAAAAGGAAAAGCATAGAACTTCCACAGTAATTGAAGAAAAAGAACACACATTCAAACTGAACCTTATGAGCACAGGTTAAAATTCAAATTACAATGAAATTCAGTAAAGCACAGATTTATACATACTCAGAAGTCAAAATCTACCAAAATTGAAAGAAACATGCAAACCCCACAAATCATTAAATCCTATAGATGGTTAAAAAAAGCACAAAACTTGGAGAGAAAAAAAGAACATTAAACAAAAAAACGTGAAAAAGAATTGATGTATAAAAAAAGTACCTCAGCCTCTGAAGCTCTCTGGTAAAAGGGTTTCAAGGATTCTTCAAGATTGTTTGAATCCCCCATTTTTTCGGTAAAATTAAACGCCGTAGCAAAGACGCAGTGACTTTGAAAATCAGCGTTTTCACAAACGTATTTAGCCAATTGAAAATATTGCGGCTTTACAAAATGGAATATCGTTTCACTTTTTTTTTTTCTTGTGCAAGTTGAAAACTTTTTGTTTTTTAAGTGGCGTCTTCTCTTCCTCGTATAACTACAAGGAAAAATTAAAAAGACCTTTTATTTTATAATTATTAATTTTAAATATATTTTTAATTTATTATTATTTTTGTTAATTTTTAGTAATATTAATTCAAAAATTTTTTAAAACATATTTATTTCTTCTTTATATCATTTTTGAACTAACTAAAAAATTTATTCGCTCTTCTCTATTTTCTTTCTCATCGTCAAAACCAAAAATAAGGGTTCTTCTTCCCTATTTTTCTGCACAAATTCTAATGAAGAAGGTAAAGAATAATTTCCTAGAAGAAGTCCGCGACTAGTTAAGGATGTTGATACTTCGAATTCGAAAGTTTATAAAAGAAGTCGAAAGAAGCGTCAAGTTTCGTCTCCTACTTCACGGATAAAGGTAATGGCGGTCCAAGTTTTAGTTTGGGAATGTCAGAATTATCAGGTGAGCGGAACAAAGAGGAGAAGAACAATGACATGCAGAACAATGACGAGCAGAACAAAGAAGCAGAACAAAGGTAAAAAAATGAGTTAAAGAGGTTAAATCAGTGAAGAAATAAAAAAAATGTGTGTTGATTTGGCATCTTCGTCAAAGAAACTCGTCGACAGTGATGACGATTTGATGATTTACCTCCTCAATTTCAGTCAAAAAAATTGAAAAAATAAAGTTGGACCGGAGAAGAAAAAGTCAGTGAAGGATGGAAAAACTCGAAATCGATTACCCAAAAGTGTGGTTCTACCAAAGAGTAGATATCCGGTATGTTCTAGTAGTATTTGAATCTATGTTTATGTATTTTTCTTAGTTATTTGTTGTTTAAAAATGATTGTATGTTGATTACTGCCTTGTTTTTGAGATGTAATATGTGGAGTTCATCTTTAGTATGGCAGGAAATGAATAGAGCAGGTAGGATTCTAAGTTCTGACCTTAAGTAGATTGGGATTTGAGCGTTCTAATTGAGAGATAAAATAAGATCGTATGTACAGAAAAAACAGCAAAACCCCTAGGGAATGTGCATCAGAGTACTTGGTTTTGCTCTGCAAAATGCTAGAACGCTCTCAGGGGATGTGTATTGTTATCGCTTACTTTTGTTCTCCCATAATTTCATAGGTTGTATAAGGTTTGTAGCCTGTGATATCTATCTATCTATTTTTCTTATGAAGAAATCAACATCTGTGTTCTTCCCTAGTAAAAAATATCAATAGGTCTATTGTAATCGTAATTTCATAGGTGGAATGAAACATCAATTCAAAATATCATTTTTTGATAGATATTCAAGGTAACAATCCTATGTAGCCTTCATATGATTATATAAAAGCTTCTTTTATTTTACTCATCTTATTTTTCATTTTTTGTGGTGGGTGAGTGAGTTTTCTTTCTCTTTCATGGGAGAACAAATTGTACTCCAATAGTATACATGATATATACAAATAATCCAAGCTACATGAGAACATATTTATCCACAAACAACATCCAAGCCTTGACACATTGTAGTATCATGTGAAAACTTTTAACTCCCTCACACGCTTTTTATTTTTCTCACCTCATATGCTTTTCTCCACTTGTTCTTCTTCCTGAATTTCTCTCCAAGTAGACTAACGATTCGTGGCATTACCTACTTACGTATCTTATCCCGTGCTTCACAATCAAATTTTGAACTAGCAATGTAACGTGTAATAATAGGTGGTTCCCCCTTCTCTAGATTAAGAATTAGCTATGTAATGTGTACTATGACTTTTAAAAAAGAGAGATAAATAGATACCCGAGAGCACAAGTACTATAATATAGGTGCTGAGGTTTACCCATATACTGATAATAAAAAAGGAGTAGATTTTCCTTTTTTCTCACACTAAATACTTTGAAGTACATTGGTACTCTTTCTCAAACATATAATGATTTCATATAAGTTTGTTTTGAAGTGCGTCGATTTTTTTTTGGAGAACTTTTCTGTGAAGCATAATATGCATGGCCCCTATGTTTGTTAGTTTCTGTTTTGATGTAATGTGAATTTGTACAATCTTAATACTGCAAGTTAGTCTTGATTTTCTGTGATAGTGGGACATCATTACTGTACTGTACAATTTTGTGATAGTTTCAATTACGTTAATACTACATGATAACCCTTTAACTAGATCATTGTTTAGGCTGCTTGTATTAAAGTTGATAAGTTGTAATCGGATTTTGAACCAGAAGTATTCATTTTTGTAATTCAACTTTAATTCATCTTTTATTCAACTGATTATTACCTTGCTTTTGACACATAGTATGTGAAATTCATCTTTAATTCATCTTTAGTATGTAGTAACACATTTTTAATTCACGTTTAATGCATACGCAGAATCATAAATTCTGGAAACACCCTGATGTTGTGTATATTCCGAATAGGTGATAATGTTACATTAATCATAGTGTCATTGAAGAAATCAAACTATCTTTATCTGATAAACAACTTGAGTTGTTTAGGAATACATGTTTTAGGTACTTTCTTGACCTCCCAAAATTGAGCACACAACAACAACTTATTCACTGTCTTGTAAATAGAGAGTTAAAACACACACCGGATGATGTGTTTGCTATTGAAATAAATAACGAAATGTTATTTTTTGGTCTTAGAGAATTTGGTATAGTTACGGGCTTAAATTGTATTAGTGGTGACACTTTTATCAATGTTTTCGATTCTAGATGTAGTTTGATGAGTAGTTATTTTTCGAAGAAAAACACGATTCCAAAGAGTCATCTATGTGCATTGTTTTTAGCTAAAAAATTCATAGATGATGACTCGGCTGTTTCATTGGTCATTCTGTACTTCATTAATGATTTTTTGTTTTCATATGAGGACAACGAATATCAAATTAGCAATAGAGATTTTTACCTTGTGGAAAGTGGAAAATTCAATTCATATCTATGGGGTTTAGATGTCTACAAAAAGTTGTCTGATTCTGTGAGACATGAGCTTAAGTCAAAGCATAAATACTATCGAATTGGTGGCTTGCCTCTTGCTCTTCAAATTTGGATATTTGAGTGTTGTTCAAAGGTTGATGAAGATATAGTTATTCGTGTTGCTGATTCTATTCCAAGAATCTTGAATTGGAAGACAATTGCAGAAAGTCTATGATTAAAATATATTGAGAAATGTCTCTTCAGGCCTACAAAAAATAAGGTATTTTTACAAAGTTAATATACTTTATTACATTGTTTATTTCAACTCAAGTTACTATATCTAATTTATTTTTTGTATTTAATTTTTGAGACAAAACATCCTTTTTTATATGCAATCGGAGGAGATGATGAATCTGATTTGATCGATTCATTCACTAAGTGGCTTTATATGGGTACAAAAAAGAGGTAATTTAATTTTGATGTTTTTTGGATAATATTCCTAATTTATAATATATGCAAGCTTAATTCAACTTGTGGAACATTCTGTACCTCTTCTTTAGTTTCGTATTTGCCTCTTTTTTAGTTGTTGTCGTCTCGGTTTTGAGTATTTTTTAATTTTTGTTCTGTTTTGATAGGGGAAAGAAACCTTATACAAATGCTCTTCATGTTATCAATCCAACATTTGAATTGGATATCTGTACGGTAGATGAAAGACTCTGGTTTTACAAATTGACACTTCTGGACAACAATATATAAATTTTAGTTGGACGTTAATATTTCTTTGATTCTTTTTGTTTCTCAATCTTGAGTTTGCTTTTGTCTCTTCATAAGAGTACTTCAAGGATATTCTGTGATACTTTCACAATTGAAATTATAAAAACTGATGAAAATCTTGTTGCAGACTACCTATCGAGAAAAAGGAACTCAAACTGAACCAGATACAATAGAAGAAGTACTCAAAGCCATTACTACACTTTCTACGAAGGTGGACAGTATGGAAAAAGAGTTACAAAATCTAAAAGCTAATAGTCAGCAGCATGACTATAAATATGCGGAGCTACGCCAACATGCAGAGTTACATCGATCGGAAGACGCAAAAATTCCAGAACTAGAAGGAGATGTTGGGAAACTCCTTAAAACCCATAACATTAACATTGCTAATGTTGCAGGTACAAGTACAACAGCTATGGAAAAAACTACATCAAAAAATACAAACCTAAACAGCTTATTTACAAAACCATTTATTCCAAAGGCACAGATAGTAGAAACCCTAACACCACAAACATCTACATATGCAGCCAGCCTACACAAGGAAAAGAAAATATATAACCATATATCCCAAACTTACATTGAAAACCTTTACAAAATTCAGACTTTTTTAAATCTCAAACCCAAATCTACCACAACTACAAAAAAAACCAAGGATTATTTAACCCAAAAATTACAAGGCTATAACAAGTTAATTGCACAACCTAAAACCAACCCAAACTTAGTTAAAACCTGTTACAACTATGGATTACTTAATACTGTATATACATATGATGGAACAGAGATAAGTGGAATCCTGGAGATCCACAAAGCCTTTTTAATATACAAAAGAATTACAAAAGGAAATTTATTTTTTATAAAATTTTATACGACACCAGCTGAGATACTTTATGACGAGATAAAACCAATGATCCAGATAGTAAAAATTGGATTAACACGAGAAATGATAATACCTGAAGACATAAGGCAACAACCAGAGATACCAAAAGTTGAGATACCCAGTTTTTATGCAAATAAAAGAATAATTGGTTTATCAACTATCATACAAGAATTGACTAACAACTATCTACAAGGAAATGCTATATGGAGCTACTATTCAAGAGATCATTTAATGATATATGCCAATTCACGAGAGATAAGACAAACAGATATGGAGGAAGTCCAGAAATGTTTTTTATCCTTATTAAAACCAGAAGCTACTCCAACAACTAGAGCGATAATACAAGGATTCATCTCCGAAGAACTAATGACAAGATATTGCAAGCTAATTGGTCACAAATATCCAGACCATATATGTTCCAAGTGCAACCAAGGTGATGACATAATTCCAGACGTACAACTGGAGTAAGCTGAGAAGAAGAAGATAAGGAAAAATAGACATAAAAATATATGTACAAAATTAGTCATAGTCATTGTCGGTCATTTGGCCAAAGTTTATTTTGTCTTCTTGTAAAAAGTCGTAAAGTAAATAGTGTCAATAGTGTCAGTAGGTCCTAATCATAAATAGTAAGAGTCAAGTTACTGTGTAAATAGTAAAGTTCAAGTAACTGTGTAAATAGTAAAGGCCAATTGTCTTTTAGTAAAGATGAAAGGTCATTATGTATGTGTATAAATAGAGGGTTTCCCCTCATAAATAAAATCATCAATCTTCCAATCAATCCTCCACCATCCTCTTCTCTCTACAATATTTTCTTTTTTCCGCTTCCATCCAAAAATTGGACTATGGAGAAATCTGGAGCTACAAATCTACAAAATCAGGTATACACTCTTAAATTTATGAGTAGCTAAATAAATTTATTCCTGAAAATCTCTTGTTGATTATAATTGTTTATCATGACTTAATAATGCTCTAATAAGCATCTTTAGAAGGTTTTCTACAGAAATATCCTTCGAATAAGTATGCCCAGACTATGCCATCCTAAGATTGAAACCGGTAGGCAAGAAGGCCGTTTAGGGGAGTAAACAAAGTTGAGGCGCTGTTAGGGTAACTAATCAAAGAAGAAAGCTGTAGTAGTGACTAGACGAGATGATTATTAAATCATTATTATTTCATAATAAATAAGTATAATCCATTAAGAGGTTGAAAGGAATAAAAATTTTAGCAAAGATGAATAAAATGAGTATCTATTTAATAGATGATGATGATAACTATAAGATATTACTACTCTATATATTAAAAGATTTGAGTACTGATATAAAAAGAGAAATTTATGACAAATTGGTAACATATGAGATAATAGAAATAACAACCCAAGGTTGGACTGAGTTAACCATACAAAGTATACAGGATGAACTTTATTATGATATGTATGATTTATATGATGATATAGATATAAACTAATGATAAATTACGAATATTTACAATATTGGGTAAAAACCATAGAAGATATAGATCTACATGAAAAATTACTAATAGAAAATCTATTCGATTATTTGAGAACTAGAGAAGTCGAACATCTAGAATATATTACAAACAATGTTAATGAAATACAACGATTAGATCTACTTAAAAGAGAATATTATAGAAAGACATTTTATGAAGGATAATATAATACCAAGCAAAGAAACTAAAATAACAAAAAACAATATAGGTAAAAAAATAAGAAAGACATGGAAAAAATTAAGACACTTATATATAGAATACGAACTATCACAACTAGTCAAAACAAATAACAATAAAAAAGATCATTTGATAAATATAATTTCGAAAACAGAATACAAATATGTTCGCTATTTGAAAAAACAGTATGAACAAAGAAATTCATAAACAACAATTAATAGAAAAAATAATGGAAAAAATAACTGAAAAAGAACAAGAATTACAACATAGAAAAAGAAGGTTATAAGAAAATATATTAGCAGAAGTATGTAATAAATCAATACTAGCACAAAGAAAAGATATATCTATGTTAAAATTAGAATTAGATTGTCTTGAATATGAGTTACAACATAATATGATACATAAATTATAATGAATAAAGAAGAATTTGCAGTAGACGAAAAAACATATGAAAATCAAGACGGAATGATAATAAAAATAATATTTTCAAATCTAGGAAGAAGATATAAAAAAAATAGGAAATAATCTATACTTAATGTTAGAAAAAGAAACAGCAAAATTAGAAGATAGTTTAACAGCTATGATAAGAATAACAAAAGAAAATGAAGAAATAGACAAATCAAAAGAAATTGAAAGAATAAAAATACAAGCAAAACAAGAAGTACAACATTTAGAAGAAATAAAAAATAAAAGGATAAGTGAATGAGAAAAGGAATTAGCTAGGTTAAAATCATTATATGAAAATAAGCAAAAACAAAAGGAAAAAGATAAAGAGCTTGAATTAACTAATGAAATAAAAGAAATGGAACAAAAATTAAATGAAGATATTGAGATAAATGAAGTAAATGAAATAGATGAAAATGAAAATGACCAAAAATCAGAAATAAGTGACATAAGTGAGACATATACAGAAATCTTAGAACAGACAAATAAAATAAAAAAATTGAAAATAAACACAGGAGATATGAATAGACCCAGTACGTCAAGAGTCAAAACCCCAGATACTAGTCCCAGAAATAGTCCTAGAGCTAGTCCTAGATGGACACCACCAACTTACTATACAGAAAGTTATCAACAATCAGATAGAAATAATGCAATATGGAACAGTAGATTGAATAAAAATTGGATACCAAAACCAATAAGTGAACAATATAATTTCTTAGATTTAGATTGTGTCACAGACATAAATAAAGCAATATTACTATGGACAGGAAATATATCTAAACAGTTAATAGATAACAAAATAGAAACAACAAAGACACCAAGATACATAGAAAGAACATTCGTAGGAACAACAAAATTATGGATAGAAAATCTAACCTCAGAAAGTTTAGAAGTACTTAGGAATGATAAGAAAATGGATGGATCCCCATCAGCAACAAATATAGATATACTAGACAAATATGAATCAGCAATAAGAAATGAATTTGGAGGTATGACCACGGATATAAGAGAACAAAATAGGGAAAAAATAATAAATAGACAACTTATGACAAAATTAGCTATATGTAAAATGTGTTATATAGAAGAATATACTTGTGCATTCAAAGAATATTATTACAAAGCTAAATACAATTTAGACGAAGCAAAAGAAATAAGAAAACAATATTTTACAAAATTACCAGAACCATTTAGTACAAAAATAATAAAAGATT